GGGAGGGCAGGAAATAAGGATATAAGATTATAATAAATGAAGAAGAGGAGCCCCATGGGATCAAACAAAGGTCTGAGAGAGAGGGAGGGAGGGAGGGAGGGAGATATGGTCAACAGTATTAAGGTTGACCATAAATAAGGATGGTGGTATGTAGAGGTATTTGTAGATTTTTAACTTTTGCCGGGGTTCTGTGCCCCTAACCCCTGCAAAGGTGGAAAGCCAACTGTACTTTCACAAGCTGCATGTCAAGAAAGATACTACATTGCATGCAGGCTATGGGAGGGAGATGAGTGTAGGAAATCAGAACTTTACTACTGACCTTCTTGCTTCCGTGGCACATATTCAATATCAGATGGGTCAAGCATATAACCTAAATATTATTGTTTCCTATGTTATATGCCATGCTGAAGAAAGCAAGGACCACATAGCCAACTATGTAAAAAGCAGCATCCTACTTCTATATTGATCTTCCAGACTAAATCTTAAGATCTGGTATGAAGGTTCTTCTTCAGGAGTCCTCCTTGAAGGAGATTAGGAGGGTGGCTATCCGGAGAAGGGCCTTCTTTGTGGTAGCACCCTGGTTATGGAATGCACTCCCCAGAGAGGTTCACCTGGCGCTGACCCTGTATTCCTTTCAGCACTAGGCTAAAACCTTTTAATTCACCCATTATTTTAAGGTTGAGTAGGTTTTAATATGGGGTTTCTTAATTGGATTTATTGGATGTTGTGCTCTGTTTTAGAGACCGTCCCAAGACTGTTGTAGCCGGGCAGTATAGAAAAGCTATAAATAAATAAGTAAATAAATAAAGTAGAAGGGTGCCTGCCAATAAATAAGGAGCTGGTTTGGTTACCAGGGTGGGAGTGGGGTGGTCAAGACAATATATACGATGTGGTTCGTAAAGAAGATTCAACGCCTATCACCTTACCATTCATCACCAGCCTTTGGCAGGTGATGACTGACACCTGGCAGTTGCCAAACCACCCCCATCCTACCTCTCGACATCTAGCGGTGGTGTACAAGGTTCGAGAGCAGGTATCATGCCTGACGGCTCAACAGAGATGTCTACTTGTGAGGCAGAGGCAGGAGCTAACAGTGAGAATCTGACATTGGAACAAGGGGACTTATATTTAGGGCCCAGTGCCCAGACAGCCCCTCTGCAGCCTGGCTCTGAGACTGCTGAGCAAGGAGCCTCTGTACAGCCTGACCCCGTAGCCTCTGAGGAAACAGCCTCCCCCCAAACTGACAAGGAGGCATCTGAAAGAGCAGCTTTCTCTGATTCCAGTTCTGAGCTGCCTGAACAAGTTGCCCCCCCCCCCCCCGGCTCCTGACTCTGGTGAGCAGAGTTCTGGAGAACAAGGGAATTTAACAGGAGGTTTGGCGAACGCTAAAGTCAGGAGATCTTTAGGACGACAAACACAATTACGATGACAGGACAGAGGTCTGTCCCACCCATGAGCGGAAAGACGAGACAGGAAGGTCTGATACCACGTGGTCTCCTGAGGTAGCTCAAAGAAGAAGCAGCAACTGAACTGCAAGGGGCTAGTTATTAGAGCTTATCAGTCACATCGTAAATCTTGTAGTGAATAGCAATAAAAGTCTTTAGTTTCAATGCCGGCTGCTGTGTGAGTTAATTGGAGACGTGAGTTATGACCTCACGACAGCAGGATATACCATTTCTCCTGAAGCATCCCCAACTGAACTCAATCATCATTGAGTCTATGCAGGGCCGACAGTCAAGAGAACACTCTATGCCATTGGACAAAGAAGTTTGCAAAATGGACATGATGTCTCGCCGGATCTGTGCTGCTATGGAACTCGGTCTACGCATCTCCAATCATGAAACCACGATGGCCTGTTATCAATACTTTTTATGGCAAACGATCAAGTCCTTTGCTGCATTCCTCCCAGACCAACAAAGGGAGCTGGCCTGCATTTTCATCGGGGAGGCAATGCAGCTCTTGAAGCAACAACTCAGCATGGTGAGGCATTATGTCAATTGCGACTCTAGGGCTCTCGTTGGTGCTGTAGCCCTTTGCTGCCATGCCTGGTTGAGAGTGGGTAACCTTCCTCTAGAGACTGAACAGAGGGTTGAGAATATGCTATTCAACAGCTCTGGCTTGTTCCATTCAAAGACCAATGACAAGTTGGAGCATATACACAAGGCTCACCTGACTACTCGATGGATGGAATACTCATCACAACCAAGACGTAAGTGGCTATGGAGCAACCCTCAGTACCAGCCCTTCCAGTCCTACTGCCAGCCATACCCCACTGGCTGCCAGCAATTCGGGCAAAGACAGCCTTAGACCCGAAGATAGAACGCGCCATGCTACCAACAACCTAGGTGCCAAGCTGATGCCACCATGATGGGACGCGTGAACCTTTCCTCTATCCTCTAACCCACCTTCCCCTCTCCGTTTTGGGGATTGGATGCAAAGTTGACTCCCCATCTGGGAGTCCATCACATCTGATAGATGGGTTCTTACCATTGGTTAGCATGGATATAAAATCGAGTTGGGTTGACCTCCCATGGAAGTATTTCTGGATGCCTGCTACAGTCTGCTCAAGCCTCTCCTGGTGTACCAACCTCTTCAAAGGAATGCTGTTCCTCAATCTAAAGCCATCATTTACAGTACAACAGATGCCTCCTTGCTCAGACGGGAAGCCCACCGTGGCTTGCTTTAGACACAAGAAACATGGGGGAGCCAGAGGTCTGCAAACATATAATCTGTCTAGAGCTCTTTGCAATACAAAAGATTCTTACTGTGTTTCAAAATTCTACAAGGCATGATGGACAACACCACAGTGGTGTTCTACATCAACAAGCAAAGAGGTAGCAGGCCAATTCCGTTAATGAAGCTAGTCATTTGAATCTGGCACTACTGTGTCAACCAATGCATCACCTTGGCAGCCATTCACATTGTGGGGACCAACAACAGTCTAGCAGACTTCCACAGAGTCTCGGAGTTCACAAATAGCAAATGAAATCAGAAACCCTGAACAGGTTCTTTGCAACCTGGGGGACCTTGTCAATTGATCTCTTTGACACTTGGAACATTGCTGTTTATGAAGGCTTCTGCTCTTCAGCAGGAGAGGGTGGAGGCTTTCTTGAAAATGTGTTTGTGCTACACTGGACAGGGACCTTGTTTTACCTCCCCCTTTATCCTTTACTAATGCAGGTATTAGGGAAAGTTCAGCAGGATGCCACAGACTGCATCACCCCTTGATGGTCAAGACAGCCTTGGTTTACTTGGCTTCTCAACATGTCCAAGGGGAACTATATCTCGCTCCTGCTGATACCAGACTGATCCCACAGGATCACGGAGGGGACTATCCTTCATCTGGATGTCCAGAACCTCTACCTGACTGCATAGAAGATCCATCCCTAGGGAACACACAAGTCTCCTCCCTATGAGCAACTGAACTCCATTCTAGAAGTGGCTCTGAAGCCAACCACCAGGAAATCCTACAAACCCTCAACATCAGGGCTTTGATCCCAAGAGCTGCATGATAGAATGGACACTTCTCTAGTTACCTTATTTCAGTTTGGTTTGAAGGGATCACCCATCAGAGTTCACCTAGCAGCCATTCCTCTTTCCACAATGTTATCCAGGGTTTTTTCACATCTGATGAGTTGGCACTTCCTGAAAGGACAAAGAACATCCTCCTGCCTACTCAGCTGCTGACACTGTCTAGGAGTTTGCTAGTAGTTAGTAGTAGTCCTGCACAATCTAACAAGAAAGCATCTCAAGTCTCTGCCAATAGTCAGCCTTCACCTACTGTTATGGAAGGTGGCATTCTTAGTGGCAATTACATCCACTTGATGCTCTAGTGACACTGTGCCCTATGGGAAGATCATCCATACATTGTTTTCCACTGGGACAAGGTCAATACCCTCCCTTCCTACCTAAGGTCATTTCCCCTTTTCATTTAAATCAATTGTCTTACCAGCTTTCTTCCCACCCCTGTCCAGTCCAGCAGAGCCTATGATTTATAGCCTAAATGTGCATAGAGTGCTGGCATTCTACCAGTCCAGAATTGAGTCTTTTCATCAATCCTCCTTACTTTTTGCTTGTTATAGAGGCAAGGCAAAGGATTAATCCCCTTTACCACAGTAACTTTCAGGCTGCGTTATATGGACAATTACACTGGCCTGTGAGCTGTATGGATTGCATCTCCCAGTGCAACCTAAAGCACACTCAACCTGAGTGATGGAGGTTTCAGCAGTATTTCATGCAGCCATCCTGTTACCAAACCTTTGTAAGGCAGCAGCTTGGTAGACTTCCGCCACTTTTGCAAAGTATTATCACCTTGATGGCAAAACATTTTCATGCAGTGCACTAACTTTATTGCATCTAATTTAACTTTGTTAAAACTATTCCATTTGCATTTCACAGATTGTGATTGTCAGACATCTTTTGTTCTGTCATCTTTTCATTGACAGAATTGCATTCTGCACTAGTAGGGTCATATGATTTGTGCAAATTCCTACTTGTGCAAATTCACACTTGAAAATGAGCAAATCCTCCCCACATACATAAGTCTATATGAATATGCAATCTATGGAGGGAAATGTGCATTTCTGGACAGTGTTTTTATTTTTCTGCAACTAAATTTGCATAAAATTACAGAAAGTTAAAAAAACCCAATCTGTGGAACCTGGGTGACTTGGAAAAGAGTCCACTACTGACTCTCCACAGGTGAAATCACAGAAATCCAAACTCATTTGAATCTGTTGCAATCCGACATCCCTGTACTTGATGAAACATTAAAAATGACAGTTTTAATAAAAATATACAAAAATATTACAATGTTTAAATATCAAATATCTCCAGTTTGCAAAATATTTTTGTAAAATGAAAATGAAATTGCCTATCAGTAACAATCCATTAATGTGGACTGAAACTGAACAGTATTCTCCTACATGATTATTCTATCTCCATGAGGACATTTATATAGTTTTGTGACATTTTACAATTTGTCATTTGTTTACATGCAGCAAGGAGTTATGGGCGAAGACGAGGTAATTCCCTTCTGTTTGCTATAATAAATCTAATGCTGACTGGGGTTGGAGTGAAGGTTATGCTAGTAATTGACTTATCAATAACAAGTGATTCTGAAGGTGTCAATTACTTAAATGACGTCTGTGTAAACAACCAATTGATTTTAAGGTTGTTTGATTCATTTTGCATGACCTCACTTTAGCAATTTCAAATAACCATTGTCAAATAATTGATGTGTTCCTTTATCTGAATGTTGAACCTTGAATTTTTTCAGAGCTTTTTATTAATTACATTCATGTTTCCTAAATATGCTTCTAAAAACATAATGTCTTCTAAAACATATGCTTCCTAAATATGCTTCTTAAAAAACCAACAGCAACCTTTCAATTCAGCATCAGGTTTCTAGAGTATTTATACAAAGTAAAATGAATATTAAAGCCTAAGCACAGGATAAAGGGTGATTCACAAAGTTACACATTCTCAGCTTACCTTGTCATAATGGGGTAAAGAGTATTTTCAATACCAAGTGCCTGGCTCATCAATAGTTGGATGACAAATGAAGGGAAGGATAGGACCACCAAGATCCATTGTACGTAGATTATTTTTAAATATCTGATTAGTCACATTATCAGCCATGAAAATTGGAGCTGTATTCCTTATAGGACTGTAGATTTCGAACTAGTTACAGTTTTCAGGACTAAATAACAATAAGATTAGATTCTTGTTTTTAAAATCTGCTTTTCAAGTGCTTTGACATATCTTGAAACATTGAGAATAAGACATACTTTAAACTCATACATTCTGAATTCATGCTAAGGAAAGAACATGTAAAATGTCCCATTGACTACCTCAAAAAGTGACTATTCAAAGGTATAACCCTTAAGCACTCATCTTCAGGTAATAGAAAATCAGCTTTCTGTTTCCAGGAACCCTCTCCTTACAGTTAAATTTGTTTTTTTTATATTCTCCATGTTGCTACACTGCCATGCATTTTGCATAATTTTTGCTATTCTGTTCACTGCTCTGTAACCTTTATATGCATCTGACAGGTAGCAATAGAGATCATTGGAGGGAAGCAAACAAGCCTGGTAGGGAGAATGGTGATCCAAAATCAACTGGAGGAAATTCCAGAATATTCCAGAGACCACTGATATAGTGCCAAATCTTTCTGCTCTTGATGTTCTGTCTGCTGTCCATTGTCTCTCTGCACAGAGGAAGAGTTACAGGGCAAGAGTTTTTAATTTATTATTCAGCCCACACAGGGTTCATCAATGCCTATGTAGAAGCACGAAGTCTGCACAAGCTGGTCCCACCATTTCCATCCCAGTGCCTCCTAGCCCCTCACTTGTAGCCTTACTATGTTGAGCATCTAGATCTGAAAATGAGTTCCCATCATATTAACCAAACACAGGTCAAACTCATATTCAGATGTATCCACTCAACACAACAAGGTTGGAAGTGTGGGGACAGTGATGGTACAGATACAAGGGAACAGGGCCAGTTCCATAACCTCATGCTCCTACATACTACATAGATACCAGCAAACCCTCTTTCAGCTTAATTGTCTAAATGGGGTTCAAGAAACTTTTCATCCAGGAGAAAAGGATTACAGAGCTGTCACACTCAAAACATGGTAGGAGTAATAACAGAACATTGGAATGCCTTGTAAATTTACTATTTTCTTCAACACTTTGTGAAATTTGCTTTTTTGTTTGTGGGGGTGTTTCCAGGTACTCTCCCATTCAATTTTTAAGTAACCTTCAGAGAGCCTTTCAAGTGCTTTCACACTATAGGTGAATTAATTTTTGTTTTCATCATGCAACATTGACAAAAGAGATGGATGCACTTTGAAACATGTCTGTTGTCCTTTACTTTGAACTAGCCACCTAGGCATTCAAGCCTGCCCAGCCATACCTTATCCTCAATGTACTTGAGCCTCGGAACACTGGAAGTAGTTTAATCATGTCTGTGACTTGCCTATGTACAGGTTTTATGTGCCATTTAGAGACCACTGGCAAATGAATGAAACAGACTGCTTATTTGCAGTTTAGGATGCCAGTCAGAAATACCAGTATTAAATCTTTCAAATTATATTCATTTTCTTTCATTAAAAATGCATATTAATACAGAGTAGTATTACTGCTCTAAAATTTTAGTCTTTTAAAATTATTTTGAAATTAATTAATTTTGCTGTTTAAATAACATACGATGCTTTTAATGTTGCTTCTTTTCACGTTAAAATACTGCTATTTGTATAGTGCTTTAGAGTTTTTAAAGAACTTTATGCACAAGGAGTCAGTAAGTGTAGCAGCAGCAGCACATAGTATGGGGTGCACAACCTGCAGCCCTCTGGATGAATGTGGCCCTTAAACAATCACTGTGTGACCCCTGAGACCAACAGGACCCCTCCCACTTTTTTCACAACTAAGCTGGACTGTGGGTTCAGGGGTATCTTATTCCTTAGCTCTGACATCACTGTTCTCCCACTGTTGGTAGTCATGGAGAAACAGCAATTTTGATAGCAATTGCTCTGAGGCATTTGCCTACCAAACAGACACACAGCAATTCCTAAATTTCAGTAAGCAGTGTGGGAGGAAGTGTGTCTGTGCATGCACATATGAACATGTGCTGCTCTCCAGCCAACGTCAGATTAAATCCTTAATGCCAAAAAGCTTTTCTATTCCCAGTGTAACCTGCAGTGTATGCTAATAACATAAGACTATCTCCATACCTGCAAAAGAAGAGATTAAATTTGGAGTCTGAGAAATAGAAACTTGCCTAAAGCTTAGTTTCCACTAGAAAAGGCAGTCAGGATTTGGATCACATTTAACCCCTTTCTCCTTCTCCTTGGTGCCAAAGAATTACATTGCAGACTTACACCAGAAGCTTCTACTTGCCTTAGAGGAGAAACGTTCATTGGTGCCCAGTTGTTTGGTCATTATTAGCTTAGCTGATATTTGAATAAAGGCTTCCTAGCTCAGATTATATACTGTTCTTTTTCTCCCATCCTTGCCCCAGGTCGTTCTTCCCTCTTTCCAATAGATGATGGCTTGCTGGATGATGGTCACAATGAGCAAGTGGGTGTCTTGAATTCACCTACTTGCTATTCTGCTCATCAGAATGGAGAACGGATAGAACGTTTTTCTCGAAAAGTATTTGTTGGTGGTCTTCCTCCAGACATCGATGAAGGTGAGTTACATGTCATTTAGTGAAAGTAGGAGGATGCATTTGGTTTTCTGTGGATTTAAACTGGAAATTAAAGGCTGTAATCCTGTGCTTAATTACCTGGGATTAAGCCCTGTGGAACTCAATGGGTTTACTTCTCAGCAGGGAAGTAGCAGATTGAGCTGGGAATTGGAAAAATACTCCAATAAGTAATCTGTGCTTGGTATAAGTTATGCAAATAATGTAATAATTATGTGAAAATGGCACATATTTGCCAATTATCAGAGTAGTAATATTGATTATATTTCCATTGTCAGGCAAAGCATTTTTTTATTGAGTGGGAACAGTCCCTACTGGGAGGCAGAGAAGCAGTGAAACTACCTGGGTAACTCTGAGCCTGTTGCTCTGCCTTTGCAGGTCTTTGTGTTGGTAAAAAATGAGAGAACTGCAATGAGAGAGGAATATACAGAGAACAATAGAAATAATTATTAATAAGCTTATAAATCCAGCTCAAAGTTTTATTGCTAATCATTAGCTCATCTAATTGGTTTAACATTCACAAATGTGAAAACTTGTTTCCATGCCTTGCAGCCTGTGCTTTTCCTACTTTCCCTGAAAACTGGGAAAGTGAGAAAATGCCCCCAATATCACTTGTGCACACAGTTTTAAATTAGAAGTGAATTTCTCACCATTGCAACTTCTGCATTGTCTAGCCACATGTGTCTTGGAAACAACATCCATGATAATGTTAAATATGTTGCACATCTATAATAGAGTTTTTCTTAAAGTTCTGACAAATTAGGGGTTAATTATAGTTTCACCATTAAATTAGAAGGACTGAACAGTGCATACCAGTTAAGATCAATACTTGAAAAGAGACTTAGTACCCGAGACTCATTCTTGTTGCAGGCAACTCAGCGTGGAGGTGACCTCCCTGCTAGTTCCCACTGTCCTTTGCAAACAACCCCCCATCTCTTTGCAGAAGTAACTTTACTGAGTGAGAGGTCATTGACAAGCCTGTTGGATTATGTTTCCAGTTTGAAATGACACTCCTGTGCTCAAAATGATCGTTTCCCTCAGAACAACATGAGGGAAGCCTGTTGTAAGGCCTTCCTGCTCACAATTACAGTCTAACCTTGACTATTGTGGCTTTAACCTTCACAGATTTGATTATTCACGAGTTCGCCATCAATAATTAAATGAGTTTTTTTTTAGTTTTGTGGCCTACTGCAGAAAATTGCAGACAATGCACATAGACTCGCAACATAGTAGCTTGTTCCACATGGTATTACCATATATATCAGCATATAAGATGACCTTTGAAATGCAAAATAGGAAAGTAAAAATTTGATCTTATATGTCTGTGCATATGGTATAGCCAGAAAAAAGGAAGAGATATTTGTGAAGCTATAGCTGCAGCTACACTAGTGTGCACAAAGACAGAGATAAGCAGTCCAGTACACATAAGGTCAACGGTATTACAAGTTAAGTGGGGGGTGGGGTTGTGTGGGGGTAGAGATATTCACAGTATCACCACGTTTGTGGAGGATCTATACCCCTAAGCCCCAGAAATGTGGAGGACTGGCTTTGCCTTAAATTATTTGCAAAGGTAAATTGGGGTTTTGCTTGTGAATCTGGGGAATGGTAGAGACATAGAGCATGAAAACCATCTGTGGGGTTGTAAGCATTCCTTTCAAATGTCCCCCCATGAGCATTTGACGGGAATGCTTATAAAGCCCAGATGGTTTTCAAGGCAAGCTGGGAAAAAGTTTTCAAATCAGTATTTTCAAAATACGCCTTTAAAGTTATTTTATATATCACAAGAAACTATTATCTTCTACAACAATGAAATGGGTGATTCAGAAGCAGTTATGAAAAGGAATAAGAAAGAAAATGCAAGCTAATATGTTAACTGAATTTATTTATATCAAAATTGTAGATGAAATTACTGCTAGTTTCAGGCGATTTGGACCTCTGGTGGTTGACTGGCCTCACAAAGCAGAAAGCAAATCCTATTTTCCACCCAAAGGTACTGCTTTTATGAGTTTTTCACTAAATAAAAGGTATTCTTTGGAGAGACATTCAAAGCTAGTTCACCCATGTGAAACAGCAATTTATTTTTCCCACAATTCCTCCTCTGTACAGGAACAGGTGGTCAAACCACAATTTGGTCTGGGTTGTACACAGAAGATGCTGCAGCAGACATTTCTGTGCTCACAGGAGCTGCAAAAAAGTATCAATCCACTTGTAGAAGTGGCTCCTGGCAACACTGTAATTTGTGCCAGTTTTATCCATACTAAGAATGAAATTGTTTAGGTAAAATAAATGACTTGCTGCTGTATGAATTGGCCATCAAAGCATGTATGTTGTTCATCTGTGTGGGAAGTAACCTGGAATGTTTCCGAGTGAACCAGAAAAATATGGTACTTCCATACAGAGCAAACAACAAAAGGTATTCCCTCAGTGTCACGCTTATATAGTATAGAGTAATTTAACCTATGCTTATGGTCTATGTGGCAGTTCAGTAGAAGCCAGATTTCTACTCCTAAGAAAACCATATTTTAAGATGCTTTCTTGGCTTTATCTTTTGAGTGTAGGGTAACATTCAACTAATTATGGCAGGAGATAATTTCCCATGTTTGTGTAATAACTTTAGAAAACATAAACTTGAAGTTTGATCCAGAAGTTTGAGTGGCAGATTGGCATTAGGAAAATGACAGAACTACAATTATAACCTTCCACTTGGGTTCAGAACTTAAGTAGACTCACTTGAAGTGCATTGCATGCATTGTTTTCAATTTTATGATGTAAAGTTGTTCTGTTCAATTGGAAGGCCTTTTTTTAACTACTGGATCACATCTGTTTTATTTGCCAAGTAGTTAAATGCATTTCAAGTGTGATGTCTGGAGTTTGTTAGATGCTGAACCTAACTTCTTTCAAATTTTACTATATCCTCTAATTTACAAAGCCTGAATGTGGTCTAGCCCATTTCAGCCCAGGAATAATGGTATGTTGCCATCCTGAGATTTCTTAAATTAGTTTACATATTTCATTTGTGTATGTATGTATTTGATTTGTACACTGCCCAATGGATGCTGAGTGGTTCAACATAATTGTTGGTATAGTTTAAACATTTAATTTCCACATGTAGGAAGTTAAGAAAAAGATATTAATTGTCAAATTTGGTAATAATGATTAATTCAAGTCGCATGTTGATTTCAATAGAAATACAGAATTACTGACATAGCCTGCATCCTCCAACTTAATAATTCTATTCTGACTGGGAGGGCTGGAAACCAGAAAGCGATTTATTTTGGCCATTCCACCAAATTGGCTGGCCATTGTTTTGCATAGATGATCTCACACAGAGAGAGACATTGAGAGAACTTTGAGAAATGCCAAACGAAACCAACTTGATGGAAAGCCTTGTAATCTGTGTACAAAATAGTATTTTGTGATACCTGTATAAAAGACTTTTCCATTTCAGTACTGTGTCTTAGTGTTCAAATCTCAAGTATAATAATACATTATTAGACTGATCCTCCAGAACAAATCTATTTTTCCTATGGATGCTATAAGACTTCCTTTTTATTATAAATCAGTGCTTTTTATCAAACAATATTTATAATTAAGGCAGATAAATTTTACAGTAACTTGTAACTGCAGGTGATTAGTGTTACACATTTGACCAGTCAAATATTGCTTGGTCAAATCTTCAGTGAAATATTGCCCCAGTGTTGTCAAATAATGGTACATATAAGTTGTATGTAAGCCCCTTTGGGTTTTTAACAAGAGGATAAAAGATGGGATATAAATGTAATGCTATAATTTTAAAAAATGTAAACTATGTAATTATTAGACATGTAACAATTGAGAGATGCTAATCAAAATCATTGCCTTGTCATGGCGAAGGGGCTTGCGTAGCTCAATGAAGCTATGAGCTATGCCGTGCAGGGCCACCCAAGACGGACAGGTCATAGCAGAGAGCTCTGACAAAACATGATCAACTGGAGAAGGAAATGGCAACCCACTCCAGTATCTTTGCCATGAAAACCCCATGGACAGTACCAAAAGGCAAAAAGATATGACGCCGGAAGATGAGCCCCTCAGGTCAGAAGGTGTCCAGTATGCTACTGGGGAAGAGCAGAGGGCTAGTACTAGCAGCACCAGAAAGAATGAAGCGAC